GTTTAACTCCACTTACCCAACTCATTATATCATTAGCAAAAAACTTATACATACTGGTGCTAAAATTTCGCTGTTAACCAAATTAATTTTTTTCTCTTTCTTCATTAATACAAAAATATGCTCATACTAACCATCGCCTCTGCTAAAAATTAATCACAATTTCACACGATCAAAATGATAATTGAAAATATCTACACATCGGCTATTGGCATTTTACTGTATCAAATTAGCAACACTGAGCATTTTCGTGATTATGAAACCGTTTTTATAGTTCCAGGTCCATCATGCCATAGTCAAAATCGTAAGAGAACTTAAGCTTATATATATATTTTACAACCAAATTACATAGTTGATAGCTATTGCTTACGTTAAAGTGTGCGCAATGCTGTTGAGTTTTATTTGTGTATCAAAATTTCATAGAATTGGCTGACATTTATTGAATATTCGTTGTGTTATTTTCAATTAGAACTTTTTTCTTTTTAGTTAAACGTTTTTTACATAAGTATACTTCGCATAGTTTGATATTTTTATTGACGGACATTTTATTAAATCATAATTAGTATTTTTTAAGCTTTCGTGAAAAATTTGTTGAGAACATTGCAGTTTTAATACGTTTTTATTCACATATATTAACATAAAAAATATTAGCTAATTATAATTTTGACTACTACTGATCTTTTCTCTACAAATTCAATTCATATTAGAAAAAGTAGCATCTAAATCACCTCAGTAGTTTTTCGAGCTACGAACATTTAAATAAATTTCGACATTTATTAGTGATGCGTAAAGATAATCCACTAAGCTGAAGAATATGAAAGTGCACCCTAAATCCCTCGATTCTTATTGAAACCTTTTCGTTGGCCTTTCTCCATGCATATAAAGGCTATTCGTATCTTTATCGCACACAGCCAATTATTGTGCCCATTCATCTGTCGTTCCAGCGAATCTGTTGGATCACTGCCTACTATTTATTACTTTTAAGTCTATATACAAAAGTTCGTAATAGTAGGAAAAATTAGTAACTACGTAACATAGAATACTGTATTAAGAATATTTGAAAATACGCTTTTCGAAAATGAAAAGTCAAGATGGATAGAACTCGAGATTAAACTAAAATCACATAAGGCTCGAACAATAGGAGCATTGCGCGATTATTCCGTTTTACAAGTAACCCCAAAGAAAGGTAAAAAAAAACACCGGAGACTATTGTGTAGTATGTTGAAATAAACTCTTTCCAAATGGAAGGAGCAATCAATGTCACCACTGAAGTCTTGCTTCCGAAGACTTCAAATTGACCAAAAGCAATCGAGATTTTAATGAAGGAAGCATTCCAAATTAGAATTTAAAATACCTATTAAAAGAAAACTTACTCAAAAAAAATTAACTATTTAGCCTAGTATACTCCCATGGATAATCCCAGAAGAGGCGAAGTACGGTTCAGAAGAACTGCCGTCAATTGTTACTACACAGTTTATTTTATACTCGTATATTGACGGCTGAGTGAAAGACCGACCTATCTCGGCAGCCGGTTTGAAAACGCCATATATCAATTAATTTTTTAAGAACACCCTATTCAAGAATTTGGTTGAAAGACGTCCTAACTCAGCACGTGATCCAACAACGCCCTATCTTAATGTAAACTCAATATATCGACAGCTGAGGTAAGGCGTTTTTCAATCAAATTCCGAGCCGGGCGTTCATGAGCCATTAGCAAAAAATCTCGAACTTTGAAGTGGGTAATGGTAATTATATACATCATTCTAACTATAAGAAGTAAATTTGCAATCATTAGTAAGAATTCCAGACGTCCAGGACAAATAAAAAATATTTTTTCAAAGTAAATTAAAGCGGGAAATTTTTTCAATAACAGAACTGAAAGTCCAACACTATCAATTTTCGCAGATGGTTAATACAGTAATAAATAACATCATCAGAAGAA